CGCAAAAATCTCACTGTTGACCCGAAACATCTCATATCTGCGAAGTAAAATTGAAATTTCGACTCGGCTGCTCTCGGCCAGGAGCGATCGAAATTCACAGGTAACCGGCTACCTCTTTGTAGGCACCCCGTTCGATTGCGGGGCACGCGATCGACGGGATGGAAATATTTGGCCTAAATATCTTTGACGCAGAATTTCGAGCGGATAGACGAAACGTCGGGAAGTAAAGCGCGGCGGGTACCTTGTGGCTGGCATCAGCGCAAGCAGGCGCGGCGCAGGGGTACAAACGTGAAAGAGGAGGCTAGGTTCTACGTAGAGTGGATCGATCCGGCTGCCAGGTCAACCCTCACCGCGGCTCACTCTCCCTGTACCCACCCGCCACGAGGTATTTTGCGTTTATATCGCGACGTTATTACTTATGCGACGTCGACCACCGTACAATCGGCCAGAATTAGAGCTGGCTGCTTCTTGCTCAGACGTCGACAAATAAGTTGAAAATACAACTGTTTCGACCATACTCCAGATTTTATATAGAACACAAAGAGACACGTGGAATTTGAAGAGCCAATGGAAATCATAGAATCTCTGTGACACGGGAAATGGACCAGGATCGGTTACGATTAATTCATGCTTCTACTTTCGACTCCACGAGTACGTATCGATCCTTCCTGAATATTGGTTCCACGAACGAGAAGAGAGCGATGCTTATGACGCTTCGATCGGAAAGCTCGGATAGAGCCGTTCAATAGGTATTGCTTGCAAGCTGGTTCTCAGAGGGAATTGATTACCGGGAAAGATTATTACACGCTAATAAGGTTTGAATAATTGTGTGTGAAGAAGGTAGAGAGAAGGAATAATTTGTATAAAAGGAAAGAGTTCATTATTGGAGTTCATTATTCGTGTTATAAGGAATTCTCTTATTTAATTAAAAATACCCTTGGAATTATAGATGATATTAATGAGGAGATATAAAAATAATATCGAGGGCTTTTGAATAACGTGCGAACTGATAAAGCGAGCTATTCAATATCCTTTTCAATAAGAAATTTGAAACGTTTCAAACATCTCCGACGACGCTTTTAGAAGCCAACAAAATCGCTGACATTTCGGTGGAAAGGTGAAGAAAGTATCTACATAAGTAGAACGATAAGTGCGATTAAACTCGATCAGATCTATGCTGAATTGGCGCGGGCCAAGGCTGCGAAGGCAATTTGTTGACCCAACGTGTACGGTCAGCGAAATCAGCTCACGGGATATAAGTATTCTGACACAAAAATATCGGGAGCAAAGACGGTACGTGGGATATCTACATCGGTATCGGATTATTCGACGTTTTCATTAGCCATTGACATCGGCTAGGTAAAATATCGATTCGAAGTCTGCAGATACGTCGCTTTCTCTGGCCGACGCGTTAATATTAATTTTCGTGCTTTTACATTCCCCTCGCCATTCGGTACACTCGTAACATAGATTAATCGAGAAAGCCTGTTACCGAGAAGAGAGACAGTGGTTATTAATGGCATAACAAAATATCGAACGCGTACCGACCCACCTTCGAAGCCCTACAATTTTTTAAGGGCGATAAGTTTCCGCGAGATGCAAACGTAACACAATGTACCTATGATTAATAGTTTCCGTTTTTCGACAATTCAAACATCTACAAAGGGATTCAGTTTTATTATCCAATTTGTCGTTGCACGAGAAATTGCTTGAACAGCACTAAAGTTGCAAAAAAGAATTGTAAAGTGATATCTTTTCAAAATAAATTTCGCTAGAAGGAAATCCTCGTCATATAATTTCTCGAAGCTTTGAATAACTAGAAATTTAATTACGACCTCTTGTTAAAGGCGTACGGATACTTTAACGTGCAATATTCGAAAGATCTATATTTCACAGATTATCTCCAAGGCAATAAATATTCCCGTTCGAACATTTTTGTTGCACGGCTATTGAGTAATGCTGTATATTATCTGAAATCTCGAAAATGATATTTTCATACACCGTGATAATACGCTGATGCATATCTGTAGCTGCTGCTGATGCATTGACGTAAATCCTGTTGAATTATAACTGTACGACGGAAAATTTTGTTCGATACACAGCATTGCATTACACGATGCTTTTTAATTCTTTCCACCTGGAAGATTACTCGAGATATTTTTATTTTATACCTGTATTTATATTAATATTTTTCTTTTCTTTTCTGTGCTACTAGAATATTATAATGGTCATTATGGTTGCGAAATGAAAATATGAAAAATGTAGATTTTAAATCCACATTTTTAATTATTTATTCATATAATATGAAAGGGTGCAAAAAAATTGCATAGAAAAATGTGTTAATGATCGTTATTCCAAGAAACAGACTCATTTACATACAGAATCCCTATTCTACATTGAAAATGACGATCAGAAAATAATTTCTTCCCCCCGTACCCGTTACCAGCAACTTATGCCGTTATCGTCTCTCTAATTAATAGCATACGGTTCGGGCAAAAATATAAAAGCCACCGTGCTCCTTTCTCCGCTCGAATAAGTCTGCCACGGGGGTAAAAAATGATTCTTGTTGTTCGCTACACCGAAAGCGTTTATTTCCGTGCGCCACTAAATCTAAGCTCCCGGAAGAAAGGAAGGAGCGTAATGACGGTGTACTTGGTCGAAACAATTCCGGTTTTCTCTTTTTCTGCTGGCCGGATAAGCTGAACACTCTCCGGCCACTTATCAGGAAGAAATTACTCCGTGGAAATCTTATTCCACGTTTCCGATTGCAACTTATCCGGCAGCCTCGCGGTGAAATAAAACTGTTCGAACTGCTGCCGAGCTAATTTACAACTAAATGACATTGTTGCATAACACCGGCTTACATCGAACGGATAAACGATCGGTTTATTAACACCGGACAGACGCATCTCCGCTTACCCGTGTTGTAAGCCGCGGATTTCATACGAGACGGCTGCAATAAGGAAGCTTCTCGGAACGAGTTAGAGAAACTGTTAAACGCGACAGCTCGTCGAGTTAAATGGGATTAGAGCGTTTCGTACGTCGTAAGGTCAGCGTACGCTTAAAGTGTTTCAACGATGCTACGCTTGTATACAATGCGAACGGACAGACTTACACGCGTCGTACGCAAGATTGTTCGCCGTGTCGAAGCGTGCCTTATGCCTCCGTTCAAATGCTCGCGACACGTCAGCTGATTGATTCTCCGAAGTGATTTCGTACTATCGGCTCGCATTATCATACGCAAGGCAATAGGGAGCAATATCTCGGGATGGATACGTTTGATTCATGGATATGCAATATTGTTCAAAATCGCATTGCCGTGCCCGTGCAGCGATCGCTAACATTTCAGAAGCGGACGTGCAATCAGAAACGTGAATAGATGAATACCCTTTCGTGTCTTTTCATCTCGAAAGAAATTTTTTATTTTTTTTTTTTTTTTTTTTATTTTTCAAATAACTATTTGCCTCTAAAGATTTAAAGTTTAACACTATTCAGTAGGATGGTTATTTAATATCTGTTGGACGAGTAGGAAATTTCGATTTCATACTGCGTGATGAAATGTTACCATTAATAAACTGTGCGAGTTTTTTCAAATATTTATACCAGTATTATATGCAATCGTACCCTGATTTAATTAATTTCTCGTAGCGGCAATATTAAAACGTTCTGTGTTCAGCATCGAAACAAGTTAAATAATGTAATTTGAATTTTAATTGGATAATAAAATTCGGAGCGTGAAATTTGAAACAATCAAAGGCAGTTATTATAAATATTTATATTCGATTTTATTCCGTTTAACATTGAATGGAAGGAGACGGATGCTAATAACGTGGGTAGGATTGAAAAATCCAACCTCCGAATGGAATATTTTCCTATAATGTGTTTACCCTCGAAACCATCCATCTTTCTGTATTACATTTTTTCATGATATCAATTCAACGTGGGATGTTAATATATCCAATTTCTTGGAAACTACACGACGGATTTAATATAATATAAATATAAATAAAATACAAAGAAATTCTTTATATGTCCCTGGAGCAAAGCCTTTCGACATTTAAGGGTTAATATGTCACGGCAACCCCTCCACGTGCTACCCTAAGGGTATATTTCTGAAAGGAATCCTCTCTATACGGTCCGTCCACTGCTTTACAAAACCGAATAATGTTCACCTTCATTTCTAACATTTGCCGTGTCAGAACTGAATCAAACTTCAGAATCTACCGTGAATTGTAAAACACGCGCAAAATGTAGCATATGGCAATTTACTGCACGAAATCACAAACTACGAAGTTGAACCTCAAATTCGGAGCGAAAAAAAAAACGAAAACTCGGAAAATTGTGACCAGTCATAAAATTGTACGTACATGTATTTTATATCGCAGCTTATGTTGCAGAAAATAAATTTAAAAAAAAAACGCAGCGAGAAAAATGGTCGATAGACGATGGGAATACTGTACACATACTCGGATTCTACAATTCGTTCATTGGAAAATTTTCACGAGACAAATAGAGAAAATGGCGGATAGGATTGCGAAACGATGCTTATAAAACAACCAACATGATTATGTATAAAGTTTTACAAGAAATAAAAACAACAGTACGTACGAATATGTAGTACAATGAAATTGATAGTTTCCATAAGTTTTCCTTTGTTATATTAATGATTTAAAATAATTTATGATATTATTTGTAATATATGTTGGTTATGTACTTACCGATATAATCAAACTTAATGTTCCAGGAGTCAATCTCGTTCAGTTCCTCGGTTCCTCGGTGCAGAGTGATTTTCGTAAACACAGCGAAGATGAAATTATTCGGTCAACGATTTTACGAGCAAATGATACACGTCAAAGGAATTGAAAACTCAAAAGACAAACTTGACGAAACTTTGAAGGATATACTACGGTCGCGTGTGCGGGCTCGCGACAGACGGTATATACGAGTATGAGTTTAGTTTGCGGTGCCACCACGGGTCACGGTGGCGCTGCGCAGTCAGTATGATCCTCAGTTCGTCACGGGGTCGCGAGGGGTACGCATTGGCTTTGTCGATTGGCCGTATCCACGCTCGTTCGTCGCAACGCGCGAAAATCGTACAAACTCGTTGAAACATTTTTCCGTCGCGTGCAAACGTAGTTTCCTCGATCGTGAACCGATTAACCCGTTCGATCAGTGTCTCTCTGTGCGGTGTCATGTCGCGAAGTTACACGTTACGCGCGTGATTCGACGTAACGAGGAAGACAGTGTGCTCCCAAGGACAAAGCGAGTGTAAATCAACATCCTGCGCCACGAGAAAGAAGCGAACTACTCCGGCTGTTCTTGTTGTCATCAAACGTGAGTGATATCATTCTATGTTTTCTTTCTTTTTCTATTTGATTTTATGGCACCATGTCGATCACGTTCTACGAAGGAAATGGTAGTTCCAATCGTAGTTACTGACAGTTCGACAGACTTCAATTCTGACGCGTGGTTTAGAATTCTTGATCGTGCTCGAGACGAAGACGTGCTTCCTTTGTCGCCTGCCAATATTCTTAGAATGATACAGTTGAACTTCCGTTTGAATAGAACGCGTGGTACAATACGTGTCGTTTCGTGTATAACCTTATACATACAGGTTAAAGGGTGTTACGTATGCCGCGACATGTTTCAACGCGGATATACGCAATACGGTGATACGGAGCTCGACAATTGTCTATGTTCTATCAATTGTCTCGTATTCTTTTTATTTGTTACTGTTCGAGGATTTGATAACGCGTTTAAGGAACAATGAGTGAACTCCCTTTAACTTTTGTAAAACGTTTCCTATCGTAGAACGAACGGAGCAGGAGTTTTAAATATTCCCGAGTAATCTTCAGGGAAAGATTCGTGCGACCGTAGTTCATAGTTCTGTACAGTTGCATTCGATAAATATTCTAGGGAATTTTAAACTGTATTTACATTTTATTTAGTTGATTGTGCAAAGATTTAATACATTTCTATTCATTCTGAATCAGCAATATGTATGTAAAAATATATTTTTACACGTTAATACATTTCATAGTGTATTTAAACAAATTTTAAAAAATAGGATATGGATTCATTAAAACTCGGAGCAGATTTATCAAAAATTGTTTATTCACATAAAATACCGATCGTTTGATACAGAGTAACAAAGTTCTTTATTTACAATTTTCCAAATCACACATATTCATACTTATTTAGTTATAAAACAAATGATTTATTACATTGTCATATATTTTGCATATTACATCGTCGGTCTGCTAATTACAACGTAAAATCCTTGTAAACCTTCTTAGAATTCTTATCGCACTTCTAAGCAAACCATAGTACACGGTTAAAAAAAGGAAGTAGAAGAAGAAGAACCCCGAGGAAATGTCCCCTGTTGCTTCTGCTCGTATCTCTTTACTCTTCAACAACTATTCTATCCACTTATCTCGCGACACGCAACGATTAAGAGACAAGGGTACATCCGTACTCGAATCCCATGCATATTACGCGGAGGAGATCGCGTTCGCACGTACAGGTCTGACTGATATTAATCGTTTCGAGACGTAGCTGTCATAAGGCCACGTGGAAACTGCACCACTGGTTGCTTCCGCGCGATAAGCGATTCTCCTCGCGTAACACAGTGTGTACCGTACGCGTCATTCTACTTATAACTGCTTCATGTCAACGACTCCTTCGAAGCCTCTTATGATCGCGATCCATTCACTTGTCTATTTGTAATCTCCACTGTATTATTCGCGCGGATACGCTCGCCGACTCGACGGCCAATCTGTCGCGATAACAGGCGTTTTTCGCGGAACCACGATCGCGTACAGTTCCAATAGTTTCCGATGTAACAAGAGCATCTAATAAATAACCGATGACTCGTAATCGTTTGCGAGAAATACGATGACGATTGCTATTTCCTCGTCGCGAATGAAACATAACGATGCTCGGATCTAAATTGAGGATCTAAACGCGACTACTATCGGAGCAGGATGGATTTTTATAAAAATTTTGATGTTTGTAATTTCGGTGGGTCCATTGTTGATAAGAGATGTAAATAACGCGAACGCTGCAGCTGAAATATCAATTCTCAGGACATTTCTTCCGTTTAACGACGGATCTGAAACGGAAAATTTTCTTATCAACTTTTTCTTCGTTTACGAGCAAAAAAGTATGGTCGAAGATTAAATTATACTGCGTGAATACAGATTGTCTCGAGCACAGTGTATAAATGTAGGAACATCAATCAACGACCATATGAGCCATTATATTACTTCGGACTGATAACAAATAGCGCTTGTTCCGCGATAATTTCTCTTCCTGTTCGTTCGCGGGTCTTCAGTTCCTCATCCTTTTCCTTTTTCGGACGTCTCTCATTTTCCTGGCGTTCAAAGGTTCGTGTACGCACAACACCGGGTCGAACAGGTGTCCATTTTCTTATGCTCCCACCGCCAAAAGCTTTATTCGTCCCTCTTTTATATATCCTTGTGGATCAGCCGGATTTGTACGATACACACGTACGTGCCGCTAGTTTGAACACTAGTAAACTAGCTTGTTTATTGATTAACCATTAGCGAAATTAATGGTGGCTCCAGGCTCCGACACAATGCCGCTATAAAGCTTATGAAGGTGAATTAGATACGGGACACTTGCGCGAATAGCACTTATTCATGCATCTCGTTGAGTTATTGTTCGGTTGGAACGAAGCGTTTTTGTTCGCCAATTTTTTGTTGTTTCGAAATTAAGGGATGAAGCTCTTAACACGTTGATGACCCACATTTCGCAAAATCTTCGTAACTTTTGTAATATTACATTTTCTTCATAACTAATAGAAATTATTGATAAATCTTTGTACGAGAGTTTCGTTTTCTCTCTCTAAGGTGTAATAAATAATTTGCATTTAAGGGTTAAACAGAATTGCTAATATTGCTTACAAGGTGCAATATATTTCCACTTACTTAACTCGTGAATATATTCAAGAAATATCACAAGGAATTACTCATCCCGAACGGCGCGGCGGCGAGCATTTAACGTTCCAAAAGTTAGGACGTTTTGAATCCAATAAGGAATCGCCGCGCAAAATTTATGCAACACGGTAATACGACGATACCTTGTCGGGGCGTTATAAAATGATTAAACTTCCGGAATTTCATTTGTAAATGAAGGGAACCCAGCTTGAATCTTGTCGCGGTAGTCGTTCATTTTATAATGGCAAGAATGTTAAACAAGCAGAATGACAGTGCTCGGCCGAGAAGAAAGCTACACTTGACTATTTTATGTGCCGTACTCCTCTTTGCTCGGGGCCACGGAACCCTCTTGCATGCGCTAGTTCAGTTTCAAACTTTAATTAAAAAGGTGGAGTCGCAATAAGCTTCCACCGCCTCCGCGTTTCACCCTTTCATCCCCCTATCCCTCTTTCCCTTTCTCCTTTTACCCTTGTATCCCGTCTCGCTCTCTTTTCACTGTCGCCGAAACTCAGTGCACCGAGAAGTCGAGCTATTTTAATTTCATTTACGAGAAATAAACAGAACAATCAAATTACGGTGGGCGAGCGGCTATGCACGTCCAGCCGTGCCTTTGATGCGTACCCGAAGTGCGTATTTTTGGAGCAACTGCTTTCTCTCTCTCGTAGAAATTCCCTCTTTCCCTCGTCCTCTTCTGCACCGCTGCAACTGTATTTTCATCCGGTTATATTGTAATGCGTGGAAGGATAAAACCGCAAGCAGGATGGGAATTCGCTAGCGACGATTCGGAATTCACTTTGTGCGTTTGTGAATTAATTAACAGAGAAACGAACAACGATGGTAGAGGGAATTCGATCGGCTCGTAGAGACCGTACGAATTCAAATAGGTATTCGACTTTCAACGCGATTCGACGGGGGATGGAAACGTTCGCGTTTCGCGAGATAACATTTTCCTAGCTGGAATTCATAAGCCACGTTCACGGAGAACAATTGGAATCGATGTTTCTCGGTAGAACAATGATTTAGAGCATAGAGATCGCTCGTACACGAATAGATACGGGATTCGTTTATTGTTTTTTATCTTTTTTTTTAAATTTTTCTTTTCGCGAACACCCTCTCCGTTTTGTTGTCGAGTGATGCTTCTATGACTCAATGTATTCGAGGAACTGACTCGGTTGAATTTATGACCGCGATAATGGTTAATAAGCTTTCATTAAGGATTCGGGGAAAATAGCTCGCATATCTTGTGAATAATTCGCGAACGTTCAATTACGCGCGGTTCGCGATAATAAATTCTCGAAAGCGCGGCTACCGGGCCGCGTTGCGTTCGAATAGAATCCGTTACAAGGCAGAAATTAAATGAAAATTAGCAGCGAATTTTCAACGCTACCTAATTAAAAGCGTAATTATTTAGGAATTGCCCGGGTTGTTGACGGAAACAACAACAAACTCCATCGAGCTGGACCGAAATTTCACTGTTTATTTCGGGGAAAATCTGCCTCTCGCTGGCCAACATCGATGCAACCAGCGTCGATCAAGCTCGATGAGCTTTCAACGCGACAAAACGGTTCTATCGCTATCCATGAAATATTTACAGGAGACGTTTATTAGCGCCCTTCCCACCCACCAAGAACCAAGGAGAGCGTTCTTGTCGGAGCAATTATAAGGTCGTCCCATGTAACGAACGACGACAATCGGGTCATCTTCGAAGCGTAGTCGAGCTCAATTTACCGCGGCGCTATAGAAGATAGTAGCGTGTAATTGTACAGCGTCTCGCGGCCTGTCGGAAGGCATCGTCCCGAAGAAAATATATATTTATCGAGTAGACCGTGCGGGTATAGAGTAATTGCGTGCACGACATCGTCGCGTTGAAACGGCTCAGGGCGCATAATGAATAATCGGCCTGTTCACCGTGCGATCACGCGCGTGAGATTACAGTCGCATTTTGCGCGCGGTACTGTCAGCATCGCGTGCGATTAACACGTCGATTTCAGCCTCGACCGAGACTCGGCTTTCTCGTAAACATTTTTAGAAGGATTTCGCGATAAACGACTCGCTGTATCGGCCGTGAGCATCTCCCCCGTAATGTTATTACTGTCCGTTAATTCTACTTTTAATCGTCCAGACTGTTAATATATCATAAGTTCTTTGTTTCGACCAGCCAACGTTCCATACGCGCGACACAGAGATCGTTATCCGAGATAGATTGGTGGAAATAATTAGATACCTGGTGACTTGGTTGGGGCACTTTACGAGGTCTGCTTTTAAAAGTAACGAGACTATATTTCATCAAAGTTTTTTCCGTGACATGGTTTGAAAAATCAAAGTTGAAACGTTTAAAGTAGTTCCCTTGGGAAATGATACGTCGATGATAAAGTC